GCTGTCGATAGCACGAGATTATAATAAATCCTTATAAGTAGCTAAGCAAAAGAGCGTCTTTTTAACGGTTTAGATTAAAGAATACCGAGCTATTTATAAGTTAGCGAAGATGAACGAGCTTTACGAGACGACGAGTATACTCGCGATAAAAGCATTCTTAAAAGCTATTAACGAGAAATAATTATTAACTTAAGCGTCGCTAAAGCTCGCAAAAGTTATTCGAAACGACGAGCTATTATTACTTTAAAGGCGAACCTTTTACGATTACTTTAATTAATACGAAAGCTAAATCAATAAGAAGATTAGCAATCTGAACTTTAACTTTCTTAATGTATTCGCTACTTTTAAAGATTAAACGACTCGCAGCACTTTCGAAAGCAATAAAGTTAACGATATTGCTTTTAAGCAGTCCGATAAACGCTTCGATAGCTTTAAAAGACTTGCTAAAGGTTTTAAGTGCTTGTGCTTTAAAAAGAGAATATACTATTAAAACGCAATCAAGTGCAAAGTCTTTCGCTATTGCTTTAACGGTTTTAACGAAAATAGATTCGCAAAGCCGAACCGAAATAATATCGTTATTATAAAGAAAAAGCTTTAAGAGCTTAAATTTAAAGCGCTTCGAAAAGAGATCACGAAAGAAAGTTAAGCATAAATTCAAGTCGATAAAATCGTTTTAAAAAGCAAAGAAAAATAATCGAATAATAACGATAAGTTAAAATACTTTAAAAAAGTGTTAATAATTATTATCGATCTTAAGCTTTTTAACACGCTCGATAATCTTGTCTTTAACGGTCTTTATAACACGGCTAACAATAAGCACTAGCTATTTAATAGCATTCTTTTCGATAATTACGGCGCTATTTACTTTATAAACGATAAGAATCTCTTAATGCTAAAGTCAATTCAGCGCTTTCGCTTAACCGACTTTATTAAAGCAAAAACGAGTAGTCTTTTAATCGTCGAGCGAGAAACTAAAGTCTTTAAAAGAGCTTTAAACGGACTAAATAAAGCTAAAACGAAAGATTTGAAATTAAAAAACGTCGTTATCGTTAAAAGGTTTAATATTAATATCATCTCGAAAGCTCTTTTAAGCAAAGCTAGCGTATAATACTCGAGATATAACGCAACTCTTCGCTACGAGAAAGTTAAAAAAAGCGTCGTATTAAGAAAGTTAAAAAAGAAGTTTAATTTTACGTTTTTTAAATATAAGCTATTTAACTATTCTTTATTTTAATTGATTCGTAGCTCTTTTTGCTTAATAATGTTTTTTATAACTTAAAAGCGTTTGCAAACACGCTACAAATTTTAAAAGAACAATGTCTTTCGAGCTTTAAAAGAAGATTTATCGATACTTTATCATTTACAAACAAGTCATCTAAGTAAAAAAGCGCTCGAAGCGTTAGCTTACAACGCTAAAAAAGTAAGACTTAAAAGAATCATTAAAATTGAATATAAAGCATATGTTATTACGCACGCTTAACAAGTCATATCTCGCCGTACGTTAAATAATAAAGCAGCTAAGCTATTTTATAAGATCGCTTAAGATCTATTCGACTTCTTTAACGGTTTTAATAAAAGTAAATAATTGTTAATAATTAAAAATGAATATAATAAAAAGTTATTCGGCTTTATATTAAAAAATAAGTTGCAATTAACGGTCATAAAAGTGCTAAAAGAATTTAAAGCATAAACGAGACGCAAATACGGTCTTTTAATAGCTGTTATGCGTTATAATAACGATTTCTCGGTAATCGCAATTAACGTTATCGGCTTTATCGAATATTAAAGATAAGCGAAAAAGGTTAAGATCGAATTAAAGCTCTTATTATTTTTTAATTACGAACTTAATAAAAGAGTTAAGAAGGCTAAAAAAAAAGTGATAAAACGGTTTATTAAAGTAAAAATAAAAGCAAGGCTCTTAAAAAAGCTTTAGCTTAAGACTATACTAGCCGTTATCTATTTTTATAACATAACACCGAAAGCGAAGAGCTTTATAAAGAGTCCGAATAAAGTATTATAGCTTTAGTTTAAGTAATATTTTAAGTAATACGATCCGGCGATCTTTATACGGATCGATATCGACTTAAGACTAAATTATAACGGTTTAGTTACGTATAGCGCTCGTGCGTACTTAATAATTAAAAATCGAAAAGCTCTTCGCAACAAAAGAGCTTTTAAAATCAAACCGAAAAGATATATAAATTACTTAGTTAAATATATAGCTTTTGATATATACAAAGTCTATGTTCTTATGCTTTATAAAGTGATTGTTATACGCAACGTAACGTTCGATAAAACTTAATTTTATTTTAAAGACGAAGAAAAATCGGTCGGCTAATCGATTAACGAAATTAAAAGCATCGTTATTAAACTAAAAGATATTAAGAACTTTAATTAAACAAAAGACGCTTTGTTTGATATAAAGAACGTTATAAAAAATCGCTTAAAAAAGACGAATGCAATTGATATAAAAAGTGAGCAGCCGTTAGACTTTATAAAGGTTGACTTAAAAGGATTTAATTAAAGCTTAAAGAATGCGACTTTATTTAATCCGAGCGATGCATAAACGTTAAAAGCTTTAACTTTAATTAAAGACTTTATAAATACGTTTATACTAAAAGCAATTGCTTTACGAGACGATCTAATAGACTTTAACGATTCGAATTATATCGCTAAACGTTTCGCTAATTCTTTAGCTAAAAGCAAAAGCGAAAGTGCTTTAAGACTGCTAAAAGCAAAGAAGAGCACCGTAAGCGAGCAAAAACTTAACTTCAATAAAAGAGCGCGCAAATTATACTTTTAAGTTATTATTTAAAGCTAAAGCCCGGAAGGTTAAGCTATAAGCCGATTAACGAGAGCTTTTACGTTAATAATCGGCGGAGATTTAAATCGAACAATCAAAGAAAAGCTTTTAGACTTTTTTAAAGCGAGCATTAATAATAAGAAATTAAATTATAAACATTTTAAACGAAATTCCGATTCTGATATAAAGCATTTACTTATTAATAGCCGTATTAAAAAACGCGCGAAAATATACGCAAGTATTAATAAGCTTTTTTTAAATAACTCTCGCGCCGATTCGAATTGCTATTCGCGCGTCTTAGATTTTGTTTCGACTTTTTAAATTAATAGCGAACCTATGCGCGAAAATAGCAAAGATTACGAGATATTATACGCTATTATAGCAGCTGTTACTTCGTTTAAGCTATTATTAAAATAGCTTAACTCGTAAAAACGAAAACATTTAAAACCTTTTACTTATTAGAAAAAGCTATAACGGCACTTATACGGCAAAGAGTTTATAAACGGAGCTTTTATAAAGCTAAATAATCTAAAAAAAAAGAACTGCTAAAGAGTGATTCTTAAAAGCGAAGCTAAGTTAAAACTTATACTTTTTAAGTAAGTGTTTATATATAAAACTAGCTTATTTAAAAAGATCGTAAAGTTTAGATCGAGGATTATTATTAAAAGTGACTTTTCAATCGAATTTATTATTTATTAAACTTACGCTATTACGCTAGCAGCTAGATCTTTTAAGATCATAATAATTATAGCAACTGAATTTAACTTAAAAGTAAAACAATTCGACGTCGTTAACGCTTTTATTAACGTTATAAAACATACGGATAGCGTTTTAATTATATATTATCTTTTTAACGGTTTTAAGTAAAAAAGTATGCTCGTAAAAGTCGATAGAGCTTTATGTAAACTTAAAGACTCGCTAGCTTTATAATATTTCGACTTTACAAGCACACTTGATAAATTAAAGCTTATACTACTCGATAAAGAACCGTGTATTTTTACGAATTTAAATAAGACGGTCTTTATAACGTTTTATATAAACGATATTTAAATTATATACTATCACTTTAATCTTTTTAAAGCGCAAAAGATTATTAACAGTCTTAATAAAGCGTATAAGATCGAAGCGATAAAAGATATTAAATAGTTTCTTAATATAAGAATCGTCCGCGACTATTAACGAAGAACGCTAACGCTTATGCACGACGTTTACATTGAAAAAATAGCTAAGAAATTCGAACTTACGGACGGACGCTGCTTAGCAACTTTATTATCGTTTTATAACTTAATTAAAAATAAAAAGATAGCTTCGCGGAAGTAAATGAAAGAGTATTAAAAGAAAGTTAAATTCGTATTATATATAACGATTATGCTACGCTTAAATATAGCTTTTATAGCTTTTTAACTCTTTTATTTTAATACTAATTTAAGCGCGAAGCACTTTCGAGTTGTAAACTAATGTTTGCGATATTTATTTAGCTCGCGCTTTAAAGGTATTTAATATAGCTAGTTTAACAAGTCGAAGCTAATAATAACTTTTAACGCTTTTTACGCCGATAACGAAGAGACAAAGCGATTTTTTTAAAAGTATATTATGTTTTTGTTCGAAGGTGCGATCTTTTAGAAAGCTTTAAAACAAGATACAATTATTATATTATCTATTAAAGCGGAGCTTCTTAGCATAGCTTTTACAGTAAAAGAGACTATAGCGCTTTAACGATTTTTTAAAAAGCTATACTTTCGATTTGCGGCGCTTTAAATAGTTTATTATAATAATTAATAAACAATTAAGCTTATAGCTAATAAAAAAGAGCGTATCTTTACTAAGCTTTATTACGTCGATATTTATAATATATAGCTGCGCTAAGAGCACTTTAAAAAGAGCTTTTAAGTTCAATATCTTTTTACTAACGAGATGCACGCTAATAATCTTATTAAGAACTTGATTCGATAGAAGTTTAAGAGCTTCATCAAGCTCTTGAATTTATAAAACGTTCGCGCGTTCGTCGAAAAGCTTTAATAGCACGTATATGCTATTTACCTATTATATTTCATTTTTTATTTATTTATACGTGATTTAAAAGAAAACATCTATTTAATAATCTTAACCGTTATTTTATCTTATTTTATACGCTTTTACTTTTCGCTTTTCATAATAAAAGATTAACTAAAGCTCTTAGCAATCTTTTTACTTTAACTTAGCGCTCCGCAAGAGTCATAGCAACGGCGGGCGCCGCTGCGGAAACAGTAAGCGCAATAACTAGCGCAAAAAGAGCGACGATAATAAGTGCGACGAAAGCGACGAGAGCTGCGAAGGCGACGAGAGCAATAAAGGCGGCTAGCGCAAGCGCAAGAGCTGCTATAGCAGCAGATTAAAGCTTTTGCATAAAGTCCGAGAAGAAGTTTTAATTAAAAAGAGCTGCTTAAATTAGATTATTTCGAAAGTCAAAAAGCTTGACTTACGAAAAGATGATATACTCGAAGCGCTTCGTATTATCGAACTACGGTTCGCTGCTATAAAACTATTCAATCTAATAAAAGCTACATTTAAATTAAAGGTCTTAAAAGCAAAAGCAAAACTTGTAAAGCTACCGGGATTACTTTTAAAGCTTTTACTTTTATTCGCAAGACCGCTCGGACTATTAATAACACTTCTTAAAAAAGCAATATCTAAAGCGAGTTATTATCGCATAGCATTTCGAAGACTTTAGCGAACTCTTTGTATAGCATTATTATTTTTAGCGCTTACGAAGTTTTCGAAAGCGGTGTTAGCAGCGGCAAAAGCAGCGGTGCAATTGCTATAACTACTTTTAGCATACCGGAGACAGCGTATGACGCTCGTGTCGCAATTATAATAATCTTTATTAGACTTCGATGTGATCTTATTATTAATGCACTTGATACACTTTAAAGCTTTGACGGTCGTTAACATAAGCAAGCGCTTAATAAAAAGGTTTAAAGGAAAAAGCGAAGGTTCGAAAGTAAGAGTGCGAAGTATAGCCGCCGCCGCCGCCGCAGTTGCAGTAGCAGCAATAGTTAAAGCAAATAAAAGATTCTTTTAATAGTTAGCATAAAAATATTAATCTGTTAAGAGCACTTACTTTTAAACGGCTTCGGCCGCGCTTAACGATTCTATTAAATTGAGTTATTTGCTTAAAAAGCATTATATAAATAGATGAAGGTTGAGTGTTTATTATAATAGAAAAGAACGCGCTTTTATTTATATAGCAACGCGATAAAGACGGCGCTAAAGACTTTCGCTACGTGATAAGACCGACTTATCAAAGAATTGCATTCTTAACTGATATTCAATTAATAATAACAACCGTTATTTGTTTGTTTTGGATTGCGATGACAATCTTTTTTATTTATATCGAGTTTAAAGAGCTTAATTACTTATTTTTTTTCTTTTTTATTTGCTTGCAACTTAACAGCTACTTTGCTGACTTAAAAAGTGTATTATGCGGAACAAGTATAGTTCCACTTAAGCTACATATGATATGTCATGTGACCTCGCTTAATAGCGCCCTTAGCACACTAGAGCTCTTAGGTACATGTACATAGATCTTGACGAGCTTCTTAAATAAAATACCAAGCTTTATTCAATCCACAGAATCTCCTCCTGATCTTAGTGCTAGTAAACACTACACTTTATTATCGTTTTATAACTTAATTAAGAATAAAAGAATAGCTTCGCAGAAGTAAGTGAAAGGGTATTAAAAGAAAGTTAAATCGGTGTTATATATAGCGATTATGCTACGCTTAGACATAGCTTTTGCAGCTTCTTAATTGTCTTATTTTAATATTAATTTAAGCGCGGAGCACTTTCGAGCTATAAACTAATGTTTACGATATTTATTTAACTCGCGCTTTAAAGGTATTTAATATAGCTAATTTAATAAGTCGGAGCTAATAATAGCTTTTAACGCTTTTTACGCCGATAAAGAAAATAGGCTGCTCCATGGGGCCCCATGGGGCCCCACGGAGTTTTGAGTCCTTCCCACGGGGGAACCCACGGAGGGTATAAAATTCTGCCTTCCCTATAGGGAAACCCTATAAGGCGTAAGGTTACTTCATAAGGTTTATATATATAAAAATATGCATATGCATAATTATTAATCAGGTTTACTAATCACATTTATTAATCACATTTACTAATCACATTTACTAATCATATTTACTAATTAGAGACTTAGAGTATTAGTTAAATTTACTAGTTATAAAGGCTTAAGGGTTAGTAGAGACCCGTTCTTTAACCCAAGTTTATTAATTATAAAGAGTTAATAAAGACTCGTCTTTTTGCAGTTACATAAAATACGTTTAACTCGATCTCCGCCTTTAGCTTAAGTTCTTGCTTATAAGCATAGTTCAAATGAATCTCGTTTGATTCAAGCAGCTCTCTTAGCTTTTAGCACTTATTGCTTTATTTAAACTTATTCTTATCCGAAAACTTAAAGGTAAGGCGTTTATATGCTAAAGTGCTATCGATAATGAAAAGGTATAGCAGCAATAGCTCTTTTAAAATGCTTTTAGCTTCGGCATGATCGCTATCGAAAAGCTTAAAAGTAAGATTACTTAAGATCAATCGAACCTTAAAATCTTTATAAATGAATTGCTTTCCAATTTAATTAAAGAAAGCGACAAAGTAATCGAAAAGAAAAAGGACTTAAGCGCTCTTTTTTTAAATAAAAAATCAATTAATAATTATAGTACATAAATGTTATTACTAACCTTATTAGCACCGTAATGCTTGATGCCGAACTCGTCGATAAAACCTTTGCGACCTTTCTATTCGTAATTGAAGCCGATTAATCTTAAAAACAAAGCCGTATCCTTTTTATCATAGCAAGTAAACATTAAATTAACAACGTTACTATTAGCATAAACGATTACGAAATCCTTATAGCGACTAAGTATCTCGTTGATTAGCTAGTTACTATCGGTGCTAAAAAGGTTGACCTCGACTATAGCGTTATAAAAAGAAGGAATCGATATTGCTAAATAAAAAAAATAATTAGCTTAAAGTAAAGAATCAAAAAGCAAGGAATTAAAAAAGTAAAATAATTACTTAAGTTGAATGTAGTTGTAATCAAATATAATTGTAATTGAGTATTAAGGTTGGTTAAGAAGTTGAGTATTAAGGTTAAGAAGTTGGGTGTTAAAGTTGAGAAGTTAAATAGAATGTAATTATAATAATAATAAAAAAAGAAAAAAAAAAAAGGAGCGAGTACTTATATAAAAATAAAAGTGTAGCCTAATCGTAATCGAGGCATTGCTTCGATTCATTAAAAGTGAATTATAATATTTGAAACAATAAATCGACGCGGAACAAAGAAAATAACGCGTCGCTTAATAATAATCGATGCAATGCTTCGATTTAATAAAAGTGAATTATAATATTTAAAATATGAATTCGACGCGGAATAAAAA